CATCCGCCCTGGATTCCCTGTATTTTCAGTTCCTATCTGTACCAGTATACCTCCTCTGGTCTAGCCAGACTTGCAAGGTCGAATTCAAGTCATGGTAGTGGGAGCGGGAAGGAAACATTTAGGAACTAGAGGAAAGTTGTATTTCTCATCGTTGTTACATTGCATGTACGTGGGTACAGCTAAGAGCTGTAAACACAAGGAATCCAGGACAGATAAACCCCTTGGGACCAATATTGAGAGTAGCCATACCAGGAAGGTAAGGGAAAGTTGCAGGGAGAAAGAGGGAACTGATCACAATGATCTGTATATAACCCTCTCCCAGGGGAATAGACAACAGAAAAGTGGGTAAAGGGAGACATTGGTCAGTGCAAGACAAGAAAAAATAGTAATTTATAAATTATCAAGGGTTCATGAAAGAGGGAGGGGAAAAATGAGGAGCTGATACCAAGGGTTCAAGTAGAAAGAAAATGTTTTGAAAACTATGATGGCAACAAATGTGCTTGACATAATGGATGGATGGATGGATGGATGGATGGATTATGATAAGAGTTGTACAAGCCCCTAATAAAATGATTTATTTTTTTAAAAAAGATTCTAGGACAAAATTTAAATTCCATCTATTCTTTTCCAAATTGTAAAAAAAAAGAAGAAGAAGAAGAAAAAGCCTTTTTATTGGACTCAATACCAATTGACATGTTTAAACCGAAAAACCAATTGAAATGTTTCAATAGGCTGATGAAGCACTGGAAGCACTTGCTCATCTAGGTTAATTTGGCAAACAGCTACCAGGCCAACTGACTAGAGGTGATCCAAGTTGTACCCATTCCAAAGAAAGGTGACACAACAGAATGTTCAAACTATAGAACAATATCGCTGGTAACACGCAAGTAAAATCTTCCTGGAGATCATCCAACAAAGGTTGCAGCAGTACATTGACAGGATTCAGGTTGGATTCAGGAGAGGACCTGGAACAAGGGAACAAGGGATCTCATTCTTGGTGTCAGGTGGATCTTAGCTGAAAGCAGAGAATACCAGAAAGATGTTTGGCTGTGTTTTACTGATTATGCCAAGGCATATGACTGTGTGAATTATAACAAACAATGGACAAGTTTGGAGAAGAATAGGAATTCCAGAACACTTCATTGTGCGTATGCAGAATTTGTGCATGAATCAAAAGCAAGGTGTGAATCAAAGGTAAGGCAACACTGTATGGTTTAAAAGCAGGCAAGATGTGCATCAGGGTTGTATCCTTTCGCCACATCTATTCAATCTGTATGCTGAGCAAATAATCAAAGAAGCTAAAGAATAATATAGTATCAGGATTGGAGGAAGACTTATTAACAACCTGTGATATGCAAATGACACAACCTTGTTCCTGAAAGTGAGGAGGACTCGAAGCCCTTGCTGGTGCAGATCAAGGATTGCAGCATTCAGTATGGATTGAGACCCAATGGAGAGAAGACCAAAATCCTCACAAGTGGGCCAATAAGTAACATCATGATCCTGACAAATGGAGAAAAGGTTGGAGTTGTCAAGGATGTTGTCGTGCTTGAATGGACAATCAGTGTTCATGGAAGCAGCAGAAGATGAACAGCTGACACCACTGGTGCACAGGACAAAGATGAGGCTTTCTATTTCCGCAGAGAATTACAGTCTTGCAAAGCCACAGGGGCAGCTCTATCCTGTCTTAAAGGGTTGCTATGAGTCAGAACAGACAGAGTGGCAATGAGTTTGGTTTGGGGGAAATGTAGTCAGATTCTGCTGGTAGAGCTGTTAAAAGGCATTAGCCTCACAGCTACATTTCTCCTATTGCTGTGCTACCCAGTGGTTATAGAAACACATTTTCCCACCACAAAAAGCAAGAGTGAGATTACCTGGGTAGAAAAGAATTTCATTTTATAGAAAATGTCCTTTTCATTTGTATGTTTGTTGGCATGTTTGATTTCACTTAACAAGTAATCAAAATTAGTATCATACTAATGGCTACTATTAATTAGAACCTATGCCAGATATTCAGTACACTGCTAATTCTAGCTACTTTCCTGGACAGATTTTTCCTCACATGATAGAGAATGAAACCACTGTTCAACGAGAGTAAATGGTTATATAGCTACAAACGAGCAGGGTATGAGTCGCACAAGAAGACTTTACCACCGACATGTCACCAGCTCAAGGAATTTTTCATTTTGGCTTTCTTTTCAAGGTATTATATTTTTCAAATTCTTAACTTTGGGCAGCTTAAGATTGCTTACATTTTAATTCCTGCCTGGTAGTTAATTCCTGAAACGTATTTTTTCTGGTGGTTTTTTTTTTTTCCCCCAACTCCAAGGGAAAAACAAATCATTTTTTGTTTGTTTGTAATATACCTGTAGCTCAGGTTCTCTCTAGGAGCGTGGCTTTGAGCTGCTCGGATGCTTGTCAGTGTTCAAGCACACTCTCATTTGCAGACTGTCGCAAGGTATAGAAACAAGATGCCTCGAATGAACGAGCAATGACAGTGGTGTGTTTTCCGTCTGAAACTGTTCCTCATCGCTCGTGAGTGTGTGTGTGTGTGTGTGTGTGTGTGTGCGCGCGCGTGTAAGCGCAAGCGCAAGCGCGCTCAACGAAAGAGATTAAGACAGAGGAGGGGCGGGGAGAAGAGAGAGAAAGGAAAAAAGGAAATCAGACAGAATGGAGAGACAGGGGGTGGGGGAGCGGGAGAGGAAACGAGAGGGGACTGCTTCATGGCTGCTAAGATTGCAGACAGAAACAGCTCACAACTACCGTGAGCTGTATGCGACTCAGAAAGCAAGAACCAATTTTATTCACTTTTACTAACCAGTTACTTGGGAAGAAAGAAATGGCATCTGGTCCTGTCTTCTTCTACATCTTGATAATTGGAAAATATTGTGAGTATACTCAGAATTCAATGTTTGTATACTTTAGAATTTTCAGAAATAAGCATAGTAAGTTCCATTGTTGAATAACTAGATATGTTGTTAATTTGAAAGCATTTTTCTGATAAAAATTATAACCTTCAGGGTTATTCTTATTTTAATAGTCAATAGTCTAGCAAGGCTAACCTGTGCTTCATAACAACCAATTTGCACATAAAATTGAGATGATTATTTACAGTTAAGTTCATAGTGTTTAAAGGAGAGCAGTCATTCAAGACAAGGTTTATACAAGGAGTGTGGCCAGTGAAAATGAGCTGGCGATGTCTCTACAGCTGTTCCAGTTACCCTGTAGTTTTAATGCTTTGTCTTCCCTGCTCTTTAGGAACTGAGATTTAGACGTGGTTCCTCCCAAAGGCATGCATTCCTATATCCTTTAAAAGGTTTTATTTATCAAGGTCCCTCACTATTTCTTGAGAGGAGAACAAAATAATTGATGAAGCAGCATACACACACACACACACACACACACACACCATGAGCTCCCTTTGGCTAGAACGACAAATTTGTCTTTCTCGATGTGTGCCATGCTTTATTTTTCAGAAACACTCCAAAGTAAGGCTTTGTTGTGGATGAAACCCCATGGGCATTAAATTGTGGAAACAGAAATGAAGCACTAGTTTCTGAGTAAAGAAGGGATGAGAAATTCATAGGAAACCAAGAAAGAAAACTTTCTGGCTATCTTGCAGGAGGATAAATAAGCTTCGACAAACTTAGAAGATAAAAGAACGTTTGTACTCCCCTGTCTCTTAAAGCTTGTGAAAGTTGTTTCCACTAAGAATTCTCATGATGAATGCCACCGGAAACATTTCGATCCTCATTCCCCCAATTCCAAGGGCACCCAAAATTATATATTTTACTATCTCTCCTTCCCCATGCCTGATCTCTAGAATACCTGACCTCCCACTGCTGTCGAGTTGATCGCAAGTCTTTAGTAGGACAGAGCAGAGCTGCTCCGGAGGGTTCATGAGAATGTAAGTCCTTACAGGGACAGAGGAGTTCAGCTTTGTCCCAAGGAGCAGCTGGTGGGTTTGAACCACCAACTTTGTGGTTCCCCGGCCATTGCTTAACACACAATGCCACCAGGGCAACAGACAGCATCAGGAAATGTTCTAGTGCCTAACTTTCTCCATTTCTCTTCTTGACTATTGACATTTTTTTCTAACAGGAAGAGAAAAGGTCAAATTACAAACCACACTCAAAAATTGGGTTTTTCCACCATAATCCCATATGTAAATTACGAGTGTCTTGATGTTTGCTGCCACCAGCCTCATAAATCAATAACATATTCTATCTTCTCCTATTCTATTTCAATTAAATAAAGGGATTAAGTCACATAGGTATTCTAATAGAAAGCATGACTACAAGGTGTTCCTGGCAGGGTAAAGGGCAATTTTGGCTATGTTTTACCAGTCATTTCAGGCCAGCAAAGAGGTTCCCTATCTACATGTTCCCTTTGTTTTGAGTTTTTTGAGAATATAAGTAGCAGAAAATTGATGATGATGATGATGATGATGTTGATGACAAGGATATTGATACCTTCCTAATCCTTCCATCCTTTTAAATTTAAACTCAGTTCTGCTTGTGTGTTTGCTAACTTGATAATGCAGTGTAAATACTTGGGGATGTCAAGCCCATCACAGAGGATGAAGGCATAAACATCTGGTGTAGGTTTTGGCATGTCTGTCTGGCATCATGGTCACAGGAACCTGTGAAACAACAATTCACATTCATGGCTGCCTTTTGGCTTAATTTATTACCCAGTCCCACCTAAGAGAGGCATTCCATTGCACATAGCAGAGGAAGTTAACAATACATTTAAGGGAAAATTCCTAAACTTCTGTGATTGTTTGTGTATTGTGTACACCCTCCTGTTACCTGGGAAAGGCCCTGGGATGTCAGGGATGATGCCTGATCTAAGGTGCTCTGTGACTTTTGACAAATGACTTGACTTCTCTGCACCTTCATTTGCAAAGTGGCAATAATGTCCTCTACCTTACATGCTTCTCAAAGCCCCTGCATTCCATCCTTTGTTACACAGAGCATCTCCTTGAATCTTCGCAACAATAAAGCACATGAGAAAGACCAGACCCAAGAACATTAAATGTCTTGTCACAACACACAAGCTAATAAATGCCAAGATTTGAATGCTTTCAACGTATGTGCTATTCCTCCTAAGACATGGGCATTCTCGTAGAGTTCGTGTGAATAAATAGGCTTTGAGAATTAAGCAATCATGTGTCATTCTGTTAACCAAATACATTATTGGATGAGAGATGCTATAATAAGAAATAGGGCTCACACAGGAATCCAGCATAATCCCTGCTCTGAAGGATAGAGCAGAGAAGATGGCCAGGTAATCTAGGATTACCAGTCAGACAAGCGCAAAAACTGAAGGATACACGGATGGGGACAACGTAAAGATTCAAGGGTTTTCTTTATAAAGTCTTGAAAGTTGCACATTAAAAAAAAAGTTCTGCTTGTAGCCTAGTTCATTGTATTATGTCTACGTCAGGTTCCTGGTTGGATAATGTATTACAATTACATAAGATTTTAGCTTTAGGGGAAGCTGAGTGAACATCTACGAGACCTTCTTGTAATAAGAAGGGGCTTTAAAAAGTTCATGAGAAATGGACATTTTAAAATAAGATATTTTTTCCAAAACTTTTTAAAATCATTTTATGAGGGGCTCATACAACTCTTATCACAATCCATACATGCATCCATTGTGTAAGGCACGTTTGTACATTCATCGCCCTCATCATTCTCAAAACATTTCCTCTCCACCTAAGCCCCTGGTAACAGCTCCTCATTTTTCCCCTCCTCCCCTTCTCCCACCTCCCTCCTGAACTCTTGATAATTTATAAATTATCATTTTGTCATAGCTTGCACTGTCCGACATCTCCCTTCTCCCACTTTTCTGTTGTCTGTCCCCCAGGGAGGAGGTTATATGTAGATCCTTGTCATCGGTTCCCCCTTTCCAACCCACCCTCCCTCCACCCTCCTTTCCAAAACTTTCTGAAGCATAAATTCATGCAAATGAAAGGGGGACCTGTACCAGGCTCGGCTCTGTCAGACCTGCCACTGCTAGTGGTAGGGAAGTGGGGTGACTGCACCAGGATCTCGGCTCTATGCTGCACACAGCCTCGGCTGCCTCAACTGAGCACCCTATTCTCTCCATTCCTCTCTCCCCTGTTTCGTCTTCAACTGACCATCTCCCATCGCATCACTGCCCCCACTGCAAGAACTCAAATGCTCACTGTCTAACGCAGAACAACATAACTCCCTCTTCTTTGCCCCTTTCCAAATGCAGTTCCTGGCCCACCATTCAGCAAGATGTTCAGCCAAACCAAAATGTCATCTGCGAGATTAGCTGCAGCAAAGGACTGCCGAGAACCTTATTTTTAGGAGGCAGTGAGGTCTCAAATGTATTTTTGTTTCTTCTGCAAGATTGAGTAAACGCTTGAGCCGAGCGATGATATAATCCTATGAGCACTCTCCTTGATTAACACTTCTAATTAGCAGGCTGCCTCTTAATAATCTTGTCTCAGCCCCTGTTCATTTAAAAAGAAGTAATAATATGAAGTTTCCTTTTCTGCGTCCAGCAACCTGAGTCTCAAGTGAATTGTTGTCTAAACCTTCCCTCTTACATTGTTCTAATAGTAAGAACATTGTTCTAATAGTACAAACATTGTTCTTCTGATTAAAAACAAGTCAGATTGTTTTGTTTTTAGTCAGACAAAACTTAAGTACAATGTCCTCATGTTTTATGGATGAAGAAACCAAGACCATGGCAATGTTGGCTCTTATTTTCAGCTGTGTTATTCTTCACTCCCTTTTAAAAGTGAGTCTTCGAATTCCATATGTTGGATAAGAAGGACAATATGTATCAGAAGAGTGAAATATCATCTTAAAAGAGAAAGAATATAGGCTGGAGTTATTGAAAGAAATTCAATATCTACTAAATTCTTAGATGCAAAAATGGAGACCTTCCCTAAATACTAAGTTGGTATAGTCATTTAAATATACATATACAGATAGACGATGGATGTTAGATAGATGATAGAGAGAGAGAGAGAGAGAAGAGAAAGAAAGTTTGATCTGCTTAATAACTAGCACTCTATATCTTTCTCACAATCAGGAAGAGAATGGGGCTGGGAGAGTAGGGTTTGATCACTAGTCCACAAACTCATGTTCAAAGTTAAGCACAAAGGAGATTTGAATGTGGGGTATTTTTAGAATTCATCTTTCCTTTATTATTTACATTGTTTCTACAGCCCATTCATGCTACTAACCTAGGCAACAAAATTTGTCTCTAAAGAGTAGCCCTTCACATCACATTCTATCTCTGGGGACAAGACCCTCCAAGTCACTTGATATGCTGCCAGCTGAAAACCAAGTCTGAGGATTGTTGTGCAAGTGTAATATGAAGCTTTGGAGAAGAAAAAAATTGCCAGCTTTTGGCCTTCCTGGGGAGTCTGCTTAAGTGGAGTGGAATCACTCTTCAAAAAACAACACGAAAAACAGTTGTTAGCAATCCGACTCACGTCACCTCCACGTGGGTCAGAGTAGAACTGAACTCCGTGAGGTTTTTGATGGATAGTTTTATCTAAAGTAAATCCCGAGGCTTCTTTCTGAGGTCCCCATAAATAGGCTCAAACCTCAACTTGAGTGTCTTCATCATTTGCACCACGCAGGGACTCCTCGAGTAACCCGAACATGCTTTTTTCCTCCTTCTTCCTGCTGGTGTAGTGGTTACATGTTGGGCTGTGATCCTCATGCTGGGCAGTTTAAAACCACCAGCAGCTCCATGGCCCAGGAGAAAGACTGGGCCTTCTACTCCCGTCAACAGTTACAGTCTCAGAAACCCATGAGTCAGCAACTGAGTCAGCACTGACTCTATGACAATGAGTTTCCCTCCCTTCCCTACTTACCCCCACCCCTAGCGCACACAG